CAACAAAGCTGACAAAGGCTTCTGCATCTAGGCTCTTTTATTTGCTCTGTCACTCCTGCTTTCCCTCTCTCGCTTGCTCGCCACTATTAAACAAATGCTTCCTGTAACGGGGTGCAAAGTAATAGCAAATCCATCATTGCATCCTCCTTTACTCAGCCTGCTTTGATGACTAACTAGGATTCTTCTGAAGCAATTCTGTCCGGAGTTATGTACTCGGGTGCATGGCTTTTATAGAAAGCTGTTCTCTGAGGCTGTCTGTGCATTTAGCTGGCGGCTGTTTCCCTTTTTTCTATGCCTGTGAGTGTGCCGTGCTAACGCAGATTCATCTTCTTCTCTCTGGCTGTAAAGACAGAATATAAAATTTCTGCTGTCAGAAAAGGACTTTCATATCGCGCATTCCGGGGATGTTTTTTCTTGGCTGTGGGAACACACAGAGCCATTGATTTTAGTCGGAAAGGACCGGGGAAGAATTTAGTTGAGATTTAGAAAAATCCCTGTAGTCTGCATCGTCTCGGAAGAGGAAAAATGAAAGCAAAAGAATCCAAGCTGGCAGGCCCAACGTCTCCCCAAAGGGAGGTGGGGGTTTTAAGATGCACCAGGAGAATGCCAGCCTCCTTCATTTTCATGGGGTTGGGTTGAAAGGCTAAGCGCTGTAACCAGAGCAAATGCGATCACGTGAGGAAAGGGGAAAAGGAATACGTGAGGCATTTCCAATCTGTTTACATGGGCGGCAGATCTTCAAGGGCTCAGTGCCCATAATTAAAGCCAGATTTTCAAAAGAGCTCCATTCCCACGTAGGCGCTTCCATAAAGACCAGATTTTCAAAAGCACTCGGCACCCAGCAAACTCCCATCGTGACCCTCCTGGCCAGATTCTTAAGAGCTGATCATGCTGATGTCTTTTGAAAATGAGGTGGACTTATTTTGGTATTTTAATGGGAGAGGTGCTCTGTTGAGAATCTGGCCCCCATTGTGGGGACTGAGCACTTGTCGAAAAATCTGGGCCATGCCGTAGTGAGTGTGTAACACTTCCAGCTCTTGCGCTCATCCTCGCCGCCCCTTTGCCCGTTCCTATGGCTCATGCTAAGTGTGGAAGCTGTGTCCGAGCTAACATTGTTGGTGAGAATGAAAACCAGGAAATTCCTTCGTATTCATTTGCTTGCGAGCATTGATTGTGTGTTTTGAAAGTAAAACTCTCCCAAAATGCGTTTGCACAGAGGTTTCTGCCAGAAGTGCTTGAGCGATCATCTTGAAACCCTTTGGTTTCCCTTCTCCGGTTTTTGTTTTGTTTTTTAAAAACGGTCAATCCCAGCAGGGAGTAGAAACAATATCATGTGACTTATGTGGCCAATTGCACCCCAGGAACACTGAATAGTTAAAGATTTAGTTGACGCAGATAGTTAATGGAAAAACCCATCGGCTGCAATATGCTTGCACGGTATTCTCACCATTCCAAATAATGAACGAATGCATCCAAGTCTGTTCACAGAGAATCTGCAAAACAGAAGAGCAGGCTGAACTCATTGAATAAATGATCAACTTCCTATAATTAGCTTGGCTGTAACTGCAAAACCCTGGATTATGAGGTTTCCTCTGCTATGAGGCTGATAAACTGTGCGGCTTCTTTCTTCTGTCTTGAATTATTGTTAAATCTCTCCCTTCCCCTCCCCCTTTTCACCTACCCACCCTGTGAACCTGGGTCATGAGGAGGGATTTAAAAAGCATTTCTGCTACAATTCATAACATAAAGGCCTCCCAAATCCCTCCCAAATGCAACATCAAGTCATGTAGATGAAAAATAAGACCAGGGTGACGTGGGTGGAGTAGGGTGCGGGAGAGAATGGGTATAACTAGGAGTAACAGCACATCATTAATAAAAGCAGCATTTAGGCTGAATATGACAGTGAGAACTACTAGAATGCGGTCTGGTCTCCCAAGAGAAGTGCTGGAAGCTCCGCTTGAAACTAGATTGGATAAAATAATAGGAGGAAAAATACCGTGAGAACAATCCTGCAGTGCCTTTGGAGGATGAACTAGATGGCCTAATAGGACTCTCCCATCTCTAAATTCTCTCTCCTCCTCTTTCTTTTCCCTGCGATCCAGACACCCACAGTCCCCACTGCAGAGACATTTCAAGTCTGGATTGCATGGATGGCAAATGCCCAAAGCTGGGCTTACGTTTGGGATCTGCTCTGAACTCTTAAGCGCAAGGTTCTTTCCCCTTCTCAGGATCTCTCTCCTTTTCACTAAGCAGGGTTAAAAATCAGGTGGTCCAGTTTCAAAAAGCCACCAGTCTAATTCTTAGCAGCAGCAACACTTGTTCTTTGTTGTTTAAAATGCTGAAAGACGGTGTCCCTCAGCCTCTCTCTGGGTACGTCCGCACTGCAGTCGGCGGTGGGATCGCAGCTCAGGTGGGCCTATCCGCTCTGGCTTTAACCTAGCTCGTGTGGCTAAAAACAGCAGTGAAGATGCAATGGCCCAGGTTTCAGTGCAGGGACAGGCCCATCCGGAATCCTGGCCGCCTGCTCACACTGCTCACCTATCCCCGAGCTGCAGCGGGAGGCGGGTGGAGAAGTTTGTCACTTTCCCTCATTCTGTGGATGAGCCGATCCGAGATTTGTGGCTCTTGCTGCGATCTTGTTCATTGTCACAGTCGGGGTGCAAGTCAACGTTTTTCAGAAGTGACTTCAGATTTTGGGCGCCCCCAGTCCTCTTGGGCCTGATAGTCTTTTCCCATATGAGGAGCACTCCGAGCTCCCATGGACTGCAATGGGGAGAGGATTTCACCCAAGAAAGCTTGGGAGCCTGATGAGGGTGTGCAGGTCTCCAAAGCCCTACCACACTGAAGTCAATGAGAGCTTTGCTGTTGACTTTAATGGGACCAAAATTTCACCTCTGGTGTTTTTCCCCCCCACCACTATGAATTCCCATCTCTCTTGGTTCCCTAAGCTGATGCCATGTGGACATCTTCCTTGCTGAAACTTACTCTGAGTGTCCTGTGTATTTATAAGCACTCAGGACTAGGAATTCTCCTTGTTTTTGTGTTTTCCCCTCCCATGTGCCCTTCTTCTCTATGTCCACTTGCTGCGGCCTCCGGAGTGTTGCCTGAGTTCTCCCTCTTGTTCACCCAGCTTGTGTTCGCAGATTTTGGTGTGGAGGGGTGACACCAGATGAGTTCCTTGACCAGTGCCTTACAGTGACTCAGTGTCAAGAGCCAGGCTAGACCTCAGAAGATCATTGTTCCCAGTCTTGTGATGAATCCGTGAGCTCTAGCTGCCTCTTTACATTGTGCTTCCTCCACGTCCTGACAGTGCTGGTATCCTTTTAGTATGGTGCTTCTGGAGCTCGGCAGGAATGCGTTTTGCTTAGGACTAAGTGAGAAGAAATGTTCATGCCAGCAGCCAGGGTTCTATCCTGTTTCTGATGAGGTCCCCAGCAAAACTTCCATTGTGGAGCAGGATTGGCTCTCAGCTGATTAATTTTGAATGTTTAGGATTCAGATAAGATATGGGTAATTTTAGTGAGCTCTTTCGAAACCTGGTTTGGGATATTTGGACCAACGCCCTAGTATGTTAGAACAGCATCCAGGGCCCCGCTGTGGTAGGTGCGGTATATCTGCAGGGTGAGAGTCAGTGCCTGGCTTGAAGAACTTACAGGCTAAATAAGTGAGGCAGACAAAGGAAGTTTTATCATCCCCATTTTACATATGCAGAACGGAGGCACAGAGAGATTGGCTTGTCTGAGGTCACACAGGGTGTGTGCTGGAGATGGGACACTGCATGGAGTGGATTGGTGCTCTGAGGTGCTACCGAGAACCCCCTTTCTTAGGTGCCTGGCCGATGTCACTCACTCATATGCTTAGGGTTAAACTGGTCATTGGGGTCGGGGAGGAATTCCCCCCTCCCCCCAGTCAAACTGGGGTTTTCTTCACCTACGTCTGCAGCATGGAGCATGGACCACCTCCTGGGATCATCTGGGCATATCTCACCTGATCACTTCCCTGTCCTCAGCATGAGTGGCACCTCATCTCTCCTGTGCTCTGCTTGTGGCACGCAGCAGTTTTGGCTCCCTGGGACTGAAATGCTTTAGTTTAACAAGTCATTGGGTTCAATGTAGGGGCATTGGGGTGAAATTTAATGGCCTGTGATATGCAGGAGATCAGACTAGATCAGGGCTTCTCAACCTTTTTCTTACTGAGGTCCCCCTCAACATGCTATAAAAAGGCCAGGGCCCAGTAGTGGGGAGGGGGTGAGGGAGTGCAGGGCTCTGGGCGGCGGGACGGGGGACCCTTGGGCATAGGCATAGTTTTACTTCTATTTTTGGGGGGGGGGCAAGGGCTGGCAGGGCTCAAGCCAGCTCCACACAGCAGGGTCCAGGGAGGGAGCGCCACCTCCCCCTGACTCATTCAGGAGGCCACCCAGCCTGTCTGGGCTGTGGGGGATTGCAACCAAAAATATAACGCAAAGTGGGGGACTCAGTTCAAAAAGTCTGAAAACCACTTGGGTGCGGGGAGGGGGTAGTCAGGGTCTGTGTGTGGGCAGGGGGGTAGTTTGGGGTGTGGGGAGGGGGTAGCTAGGGGCTGTATGCGGGGAGGGGTGGGTTCCCATTGCGGCTCCCAGCTTCAGTGAGGTGGGTGGAGGGTGCTGGGGCTCCCGGCTTCAGCCCTGTGTCGCTCCCGGCTGGGGGCGGGGGGGTGCTGGCTTCAGCCCCGCGCTGTTCCTGGATCAGCGCTGGGACTCGGGGCACCGGGTTTCAGTGGCGGAGCTCCGCGGCCCCCCGAAAGGGCTCGCAGACCCCCAGGAGGCCGCGGAACCCTGGTTGAGAACTCCTGGACTAGATGATCTAATGGTCCCTTCTGGCTTTAAACGCTGTGAATCTGAATGTGTGACAGCGGTGGGAAACGAGCCCATATCTCCTGGGTCTCAGTCTAGTCCCTTATCCGCAAGACCCTCTTTCCTCTCTGAACTGAGTTTGACTTCTTTGTGCTCTTCTTTTCTCCAGGTCTGTGACGATGGAAGAAGAGGTCCATCATCTAGAGGCCTGACTGGGCGACAGTAGGAAAACCCTCCAAGAGACGGGCAGCTACTAGCTTGAGATACAGAGCGAGACAAACATGCTGAAGCCAAGTGGACTTAAAATCCCCGGCAGGGCGGGGAAACACTCCAGCCCCGTGGGACGGGCTGCGGGGACAGCTGCGGCTGCAGCCACTACTGGCTCAAAGGAAGGTGAGACCTGGATTCATCTAGGGCCTGGCCCAAAGCCCTCTGAAGTTACCTGGTGAAAAATGTCTTAAGTCTGGGTTCTCCTGGTTTTAAAATCCTCCGCGCTTGTTCCTCATGTTGGCATAAATAGGCTCATCATGGCAACTAGGCAAAGCAAGTATATTGGAATGAGAGAGTTGTCACCCTCTAGTGGCTGATCTACAGAGCAGATAGGGACCTGCTGTTTCTACTTGCTTTAGAGGTTCTCTGATACTTGCTTTAGAGGTTCTCCTTAGCTTAAGACGTGGGATGTTTGGAGCTGAAGGAACCGGGTTGTAGTCCCAGCTCTGCGTGCATGTATACCTGGGTGACTGATCTAGTAATTGCATCTGTCTGCAGCACATAGAATCATAGAATATTAGAGCTGGAAGAGACCTCAGGAGGTCATCTAGTCCAATCCCCTGCTCAAAGCAGGATCAACACCAACTAAATCATCCACATGGGTTCATTTGAGTAGACTTTTTTTCCAACTGTACAGGGTGTACAGAATGAAGGCTGAATGTCTTTTTTTAATACAAGTGTTGTATTGTGGTGACAGTCGTGGTGCAATTACAGGGCACTCAAGGGTGTGTGTGTGTGTGTGTGTGTGTGTGTGTGTGTGTGTAAAAGCTGCCTGGGGAACTGAAAGCCTCACTCGTACACATGCACAATAGTCACTGAGGCACAGACTGATAGGAATAATGTGTTGTCATGAGATGATGCAAGAATGATTTTGCAGAGTTATGAGAGTGAACCTTTCTGACTGATGGAACTTGGAAGGGGGAGGGCAGTTTTTGATTATCCTGAGTCGGTGCAGCAATTTGGGTTGACTCATTTGCAGGTGACCTTCATGCTATGTATTATCACTCATATCCTGGACTGTGGGTGTGTGATCTTCGTACCCTGCATACTGTTTACACATCAGTATGTGTAAGGAATGTGGTTTAGCAATACTAGGGCCAATGTTCAGTGCAACCCTAAAAATTCAAGGGATTGCAAGCTGCCCTTCATTTAGGGCTACAGTTTCCAGTTTGTGATTTCTCCTGGCTGCTTAATTTTAAGCAACTTTTGGCTAACTTTTTAGGTATAAAAATTGTTTCTGTTTTAAAACAATTCCCTTGAAACATATAAAGTGGGTCCTTTCCAAATGCTCGTGATCCCAGGAATAAGCCCAGATATGGTGAATCTTTAGGGCCTGCCAGGCCCTCCACTAACTGTTTTCAATACGCAGAGATTTTTTCACTATATATTTCATTAAAAACATACACTCAAATGTTTGCCTTGATGGGGACGTTGCTGGTTTTAACCTAAAATCTGCCACCCTCTCATTCCTACCTCAACATAAGACAGTGTTCGCTAGCTTTATTAGTGCTGTGTATGGTTCTGTCCCTTTAGAGAATAGCATTTTTTAGGTCCCAATCCTGCAGTGAGTTCAGTATAAGCACAGAAAGGCCCCCTGCTCCTATATGACTTTTTTGCAGGATCGGGGCCACAGCTGACAAAGATCTGTGTTGTCATTGCAAAGCAAGTTAGTCTGGGGTGATGCTTGCACAAAAGAGAGGGAAACCAGGCAATGATTGGTGCAGTGGTGGGACCATAGAAGTGTTGTTTTAAAAAAAAAAAATCCTTGTGGGATTTCAGTGGCAGGGAGGTTGTATCAATGTATATTTGTCTTGTCAACTCTTTGCAATGAGAGCAGGGGTTCAGGGAGCTACATCTGCATGCGCTTGCCACACAAAGCGCCCCTCTCTGCTCAGTGACTCTGACTCTGTTGCCATTTCAGTGACACTGATTTGTTCAGGGACCTTTGTAGTGGATATTTCTGTTCCTTCAATGGTGAATAGCACCCCCCTCTGCTCCCGCCAACTGTCCCCTGGAGCAGATTGCAAAAACCTTAGGATTTAACTTGCTTTTCTCTGTGAGTGCAAATCTTTTCTGGGCTGCCAAACCCAGTCATCTCATCGGACTCTGGACCAAATCAGTAGCTAGCATAAAGTGGCGTTGAAGTCCATGGAGCAACACTGATTGACACCAGCAGAGGATCTGGCCCTCTGTGTTGTGTTTAAAATTCTACTGAGGGTGATGTGGTGATGAAGACAGATGTGACCACTAGCAAGGTTGTTGTTTAGCTTTAGAACCTGTCTCTCACAGTTCAATGACATTAAAAGCCTCCTGATGTCTAAGTATTAGGGTGAGGACACAGTTAAAGCAAATGGAGCAAATTCTCACTGCAATGAATTATTTTCTGCTATATTTTCTCTGCTCTAGGTAGGAGTGATAAATGAATCCAATTCTGATTCCCTTCCTCTAGTTTAGTCCCATAGACTTCAGCAGGCCTAGCTGCGAAGGTATCGTTATGCTCAATAGTATCTGAATCTGCTCCTGGAGTACCAGGCAAAATACACCTCCCCTTTTTCCCCCCGGTCTGCACTGGCATTTGAACGGTGCTGCCAGGGCCAGTGCAAGGAAGTTTCGCGCCATAGGCAAAACTTCCATCTTGCGGGCCTCTCCCCCCAGCCCTGCGGCAGCTCCCCCCACCCTGAGGCGC